TGTACTTTTACAGGCTGTTTTTAACCACATGCTGATTGCTCCTCCTGCCTTTGTCCTATCTCAATAAAAGGGGCTCTCAGACCCCCAGTCTGGGTCACTCCATCCCTAGAAAGGTCGTGTCCTGTCTTTTCTCAGCATTGGCCTCATGGGCGAACCACGGGAATGTTACAGAGAGGCAGCGGCCGAAAGGCCTTCGGACAACTCAGGCCCTGTCGTGCCCTGGTGGATCGGAGGCCCTCCTCTTTCCAGCCTTTCTCCTCCACACCCAGCTGCAGAAGCCCTGAGCCACACCGGGAGCCACAAGGACGGAGCCCTTCCCAGGGCCACAGAAACCTAGACGTCCCTGTGGATGGAGAGGGCCAGAAGCCTCCATAGATGCTTCTGAATCAACAAGGTGGGCGCCGTAGCCACCCTCGGCTCCTCAGTGAGGTCTGCTTTGGGGGACAGCCATCTTAGCTGGGTACCCGACTTTCTTTTCCTCACCCAAGATATGCCACCCTCCCCTGCGCATCTGCTGGGGACGGTCGGGCAGTGCTGCGGCTTCCTGTTGTCCATGGGCTGGAAATGGCACACCCCTGCTTGCCAAAGGCTGGGAGGGGGGCTGGCTGAGGCCATGCGCTCTCCCTGACAAAGGCCTGGTGCTCCGGTGCCTCTGGGTGCTGCGGCCTCACCTGTTCCTGCTGCTGGAGCTGCACTTGTTGGGCAATCACCTTCAGCTTCTCCGGGTACAAGTGGGCCTCCAAAGACCGTACCTGTCGGCCGGGCAGAGAAAGGCCCGGTCACCCTCCACAACGGGCAAGGGAGGCTTTGCACGCAGCTGCTTGCCCCTGGCCCCCAGCCCCCTGGGGCATTCGTTTGCTGGTACCCTGCCCAGAAACCCTCCTGCGACCCGGCCTCCAGACCCGCAGGGCACACCTGCTCCTCCAGCATCATCCGGACCGAGCGCTCCTTGTCCAGTTGCTGCCGGAGCTCAATCATTTCCCGGCGCAGGTCGTCGGCCTTCTCGTCCTCCCAGATGTCTGGTGACCCAATGCCTTCGTCCTTGTCCTCTGCCCGCCGCCGCTTCGGGGAGGATCCGCTGAACTCCTGCCAAGAAGGCCCAGATTGAAGGAGGGGGGGGCACAGGGGCCACGGGGAAAAGAGCGCCCCTCCCGGCCAAGATCTCCATGGTGCCCACCTGGATGAAGCGCTTGAGCTGCGCGTTCTGCTGCAGCAGCCGCGTCTTCTCCTGCTCCAGAGAAAAGATGTACTCCGCCGTCTGCTGGAGGATCGCTGCCTGACCAAAGAAGAGACAGGAAGCAGAGAACTCCAGAGGCTGCAGACCTGGCCCCCTCCTCCCCCCCCAAAGGACAGCCAGGTCTCTCCTGAAGCCCTTCCCGTGCTCTGCTCCCCGAGGCCCCACGTATTGCCATGGCTTTCAGCAGCCGGCTGCACCCCATTGTTCCCCAGGGAGCAGTCCCCCCCCCTTCCCCCCTGGGTCTCCCTTCCAGCTGCAGCATTCGACCTCCGGAGGCTCCTTGGCCCATCGCCGCCCCCCCATCTTTTTCCCCTAAGCACGATGCCCCTCCAAGGCCCCCCAGCCCTGGCGAGTGGGCCCCCAGCTGCCCTCAGGGTCTGTCAGGGACTTGCTTGACTCCCCTGCGGCTTTGCTGGCGGCCCCCAATCAGTGGGGAGCTTCTCACCTTGCTGAGCTTCTCGCCGTCCGTGTGCGGGATGAGAGTTTTCAGGGACTGGAACCCTGCATTGATGCTCTGCATGCGCCTGCGCTCGTTGCTGTTGGCGATCTCCCTGCGTATCCGTCGCTCCTGGTCCCTCTGCGTCTCCGGGGTCAGGGGGATGTTGGCCAGGCTGCAGCAGGGGAGCACAGGTCAGAGACGGGCCCTCAGGACGGGCCCTGTCACTTTGTTGTCATGGTGGGGCTTTCGAAGGACCCCCGCAAAGGGCTTAAGCGTTTCCCAACCCGTTTCATGTCCTTGGCCCTTCCCAGGCCACGCTGGGCCCTCCTGTCCAGCTAACAGGCCTTCCCGGCTCCTCCAGGCAGCAGCGCAAGTCAATCGGCGTCTCCACCCGAGGAAGCACTCCGGGGGCCGTCCTCCCACCCTCACCCACAGCCACCCAGGGAGGAAGGTGGGACCCGGGCGCCCTCCGCGCAGCAGTGGCCTTGGGCACGGCTACTCGGCCGTTGGGTGCGGTCGCCCGGGGCAGCCACGGACCGCCGGGGCACCTACCGCGCGGAAGAACCAGCGGGCACCGCGGGGCCCTAGCGGGGAAGGGCCGCCCCGCATGCCGGCGGAGTCGGGAGGGGCGGCCCCCGGCGAGCAGAAGCGGGGAAAAACCGCTCCCGGGAAGGCCCGGATCGGGGCTCCTTCGGGGCGGGCAGGAGAGGCGCCCGCGGCCTCCCCGGCCCCGATCAGCGCCCCACGTGGAGGCCGCCTTGCGGCCCAGCTGGCGGGGGTCGGAGGGCGGCCGCGCCGCCGCGCTCGTTCCGCCCGCACCGCCGGGCGGGCTGCTGCGCACAAAGAGCGGCTTCCCGGGCGGCACGTGCGGCGGCTGGCAGCCTTTGTGCGAGGCG